GTCGTTAAATAATTCATTTAAAGATAACTAGTATTTATGAATTGAAATGGTATTGACATTATTGACAGGGGCAGATTGTAAATAGATCGGGCTTTATTCGGGCCGGAGAAAAATGAAATCGGGCTTTGAAGGGGTTCCGGTAACATTTCCCTAAAATCCATTTTAATATTATATTTATACGCCTAAGCCTTCCAAGCGAACTCTTCCTTTCACGATTTCAAACCAAAATATCGCGCGCGCTACATGCTCTGCCCATCATTGATTTCATCGCCCTAATTATATTTGGTAGTTCAGCCAATATAGTGGCTGACTACGGACTGGACGACCGGGGTTCGATCCCCGGCAGGGGCAGAGGATTTTTCCTCTAGCTTCCAGACCGGCTCTGGGGCCCACCCAGCCTCCTATCCAATGGGTACCGGGGTCCTTTCCCGGGGATAAAGCACGGCGGGGCGTGAAGCTGACCACTCACCCCCATCTAGTGCCGAGGTCAAGAATGAGTAGGACCTGTATCAGCCTCCCCCCAAGCGCGTACATGGCGTATAGTGGGACAGCTTTGTTTTTAATTACTACGGAGAGCCTCTTTATACAATTTTCTCAAACTTCCGAGAACTTCATCCCTCACAGATCCAGATAATGTCCCAAGAAATTGTTTTAGTATATCCTTAATCTGTGTTCTTCCCCCAAAGTGAGAAAACAGGAAGAATTATAGTTCTGTTTATTCCTGTCTTTACGATTTTAAGGATCAGACGAGAAGAAAATTAATCTGAACTCTATGGTAGGAAGTATCCTGGAATTTAGTCTTCTTTTAATTTCCTTAATTTACTCTGCTTCATTAACGTCGTTCCCAAATATATGAAGTTTGACACATTTTTAAAGGATTTATGGGCCACCTGTATGTTATAATTTCGTCCTGTAATCGGGTGACAGCACAGACCAGAAGTCGTGTCCCATTCAATTCCATTCTCTATTTGGACCGTACTGAGGGCACGTTCTGGATCAGAGTTAAAAAGCAACAGCGATAAAGCATCTCCTCGTATGAGCCTACTTTGAATAGAAAATGGATCAGAAAATTCTTTACCTGTACGGACTTCATTATAGGCTTAATTTAATCACACATAAAGCCCTTTATCCTAACTAGCATCACTGGTGTAATGAAGTAAATGACAATTATTATTATTATTTAGTGTTCTGTGTGACGACAGGTCCATATGAACAGGATCCTTCCATCCTTTTCTCGGACTGGGACCTGTTCATATACGTTCTTGGCAGATGATCCAGAAGTGGGTTGCCATTGCCTTCTTCTGTGTGTGAAGGGAGTAATTGTTGGGATGCCACGGAGAAAATCTCCGTGTTGCCTAGACCACGGCCTCGCCCAGCACAAGTTATAAATTCGGGCCCCGCCGGGAATCGAACCCGAGACCCCAGGATTACAAGGCCAGCGTTCTAACCGCTAAACCACCGTGGTTATAAGCTAATATTATGTAATTTAAAGTAATGCTCCCTCATTCGTGTGAAACGTTTCAGTGAATTAATTTGTCCTGCCCCTGCGTAAAGCGTTCTAACCGCTAGACCACCGTGGCTCTCCAAATGACAATACTGTATAATAATTTCCTCTTAACTGAAACAAAGATTGTCTTGATTAAAATGATGTTCATTTCCATTGCACTCCCAACTTTTTAGCCTGTATCTGACTAATGCAGAATGTCTGATAAGGAGTTTTCGTCGAATTCCACAATGATGATACTACGTATAACGTCAGCTTCGTATTCCTGTCTGTCAAGTAAACAATAAAAGATTAAAATATGCAGGACTGTGTGTCACGTGAGGTTCTCAATGTGGAAAAATGTCAATTGTGGTTTTCTGAGTTTATAAAGGGGAGAAAATAGAATATTTGAGAAGAGTTTGACAATATTTAGGTTTGGGTCAGTGACACGAGGCTAGTAGCCGTCACCACATTGCACGCTCCAAGGTCACAGAAACATTGTGCAACGTTGCAACACGAACAGTGGGGCCTAGGCGACTGCTGACACCCCAGAACGCGCATTATGACTGAGCTGGCAACGCTGTAATGTTGACTTTAAGGCGCGCGGAAAGGGGAGTGTATCTTCCGGGACCTTGCAACATGCGATTTGGTGGCAGCTGAGAGAGTAGATTCGCAATTTTATCTTCACTATATACAATTAGGATGGTTTAATTTAAT